ATTAAAGACTAATTTTGAACATATTTACAAATTTTAAAAAACAAGTGAGNAATCGAATAGAAAGACTGTCTTTCAAAAAATCGATATAAACTATGTAAAAATAGAAGGATTGGTAGTATTTTCAGATTCTAAAATTGTTTAATTTCTGCAATAATTAATATTCAAATTCAAAATCCCCTCTATAAAAGCTTTGGTGACGTTTACGAAGTTTTCGTTCGGATATATATATATACGTTCGGATCTCTCCTTCTAGCGCATAAGATTCTCGTGGCATCTCGCTCATGTATTGATTTTTATTTCAACCAACCGCGTTCGAAACGACGGTGACGTCTCCAAAGTTTTATCAAATTTTCATTATTTTGTTTTTGTAGTTTGAAAAATAAAAAATTAGAGGTCTTCAATTTTGCTAAACTATCAAATAAACCAATAAAAAAAATGTAACGACCCCATTGTAAAATTATGTGCCCTTGTTTGACAAAACCACTTAAGCAATCCTCGGTCCAATTCATCACGATCTGATTTTCGAATTCTTTCGGCTGCGCACATACAGTCGATTTAAGGGAGGAACTTCATTTAGAACCGTCAAAAAACTCAACAAATTTTTTTTTCCATAAAAAGTTGCCTGAACATCTTAAGAATGTGATAGCAAAAATTTAAAGCGAAATTCTAAGTACTTCCGTTAAAACAGCGTATTTTCCCGGTGCGCGTTCTTCGAAAATATCATACATATAAACTATGTGACTCACGCGTCGATTATTTTTATAGCAATATCTTGTTTAAGCTCTTGATTCTATGAAGTTTTAATTTCAAATGATTTCAATTGTAGAAGTTATAAACCTTTAACAAGTATGTTATAGATAACAATCTACAAGTCTTCCCGGTTTTTATAACACCGTCTTTTTACTTCTGTGGGAATAAAACGGACAAAAACGGGATTATTCACTAAGGGCCGCATTAAGGTACACACCTTTATTGCAAATTGTAGAGAAATAATAGGTTTAAAATAATTTTAGTTTCAACGAATTTAAATTCGATCCTGTTCTTGTCTGGTCGACTTTTATTTATGATGGTTATAAAAATCGATGTTCTTTTAAATTGTCGTATAGTTTCCGATATTTCTCATGGTTTTTACGACCCTGAGAAACAGTACTGACAATAATTATCGCTGGGAAAAATCTATTATTATTGTATTTATTTTCATCCCTCCCACTAAATCGGATATTATGCTGATAGTATAAATTCAAAACACCAAATTTGAGTTTCTTTAGTCTTGAATGTGAGATATAACTCTTAATATTCAAAATGTCTTCCTATCCGAAATGTAGTAATGCGTCTAGGGCGCGAAAACGCCATTTTCACGGGAATCAGCACACTAAAAAAGAAGAAGAAGAAGTTGCAGGACAGAGTGCAAGTGCAAAAAAACTGTCCACTGGAAGAACTGAACATATTGCACCGAATAGTCAAAATTCGTATTGTTTGATAGAGTTTTTTACAGTGTTCAGTGCTTTGGCTAATGTTGTTATTTGTTGCAAATGTAAAGATACCATACAATTTGAGATAGATGGAATGAGAGGTCTTGGGTTTAAGCTGGTTTTGCTTTGTCGTTGTGGCCGAAGAGACATAAATTCTGGACCGTTAATTCAAACTGGTTATGAAGTAAATCGTTGAATTGTTTTTGTTATGCGTCTGCTGGGCATTGGGAGGCATGGAATAAATTTATTTTGCAATTTTATGGATATATGCGACGGTTTGAGTAATAGTGCATACAATAATATTGTTAAACATCACCATTATTCAGCCACCAAATCGGTGTTCGAATATTTCAGCGGAAAAGCTGTTGAAGAAGAAAATAAAAAAACGAAGGGCAAGAAAGGTCAATCTTGAATTTAAAAGTATCTGGTGATGGTTCTTGGAAAAAGCGCGGATTCAAATCATTATACGGCGTAATATCACTTATTGGGTACTATTCTGGTAAAGTTATCGCTGTAGCTGTAAAAAGCAGTTATTGTCAAGCCTGTACATTTTATAAAAATAAAGAAAATACAGAAGAATATATTGACTGGTATGAAGAACATAAAGAAAATTGCATGAAAACTCACGAAGGGTCTGCCGGTAAAATGGAAGTCGATGCAATTGTAGAGATGTTTTTGAGATCCGAAGAAAAGTTTGGTGTAAAATACGGCAACTATATAGGAGACGGAGATTCCAAAACGTTCAAAGCAAATTTAGAACAAAATCCATATGGTGACGATTTTCCAGTAATTAAAAATGAATGTATTGGACATGTTGAAAAGAGGATGGGCTCCCAACTACGAAACATAAAAAAGAACCTACAAACTTGGCGGAAAAGTAAAATTAACAGATACTCTAATCAGAAAACTTACGACATACTACGATCTTGCTATCCGTAGAAATATCAGTGCAGAGAACATGAAAAAAGCGATAATGGCTACTTATTACCACATGTGCATCAAATGGGTCGGATTCCTTGATGAAGCATCCATCGCCATTGCATCCACATATTCAGAAACACATATATTCAATTTATGAAGATTTATCCAGAGAAAATTTATTAATAAGATGTTTGGGGGGCCACACTCAAAATGTCAATAAAAGTTTCAACTCTACTATTTAGCGCTTGGCTCCAAAGCACCTGAATTCTGGCTTAAAAATAGTGGAAATTAGTACATATATTGTACATTATTTAATGAAGGACACAGTAGCATATTGTAAATAATGAGTAAATTAAATCTAATTATTGGGAGGCAAGCCAAAATATACGCTGAACAAATGGACGAACATCGAATTACTCGGCAGGATCGACGTAACGAATCTGTGTTTAAAGAAGCTCGAAAAGCACAAAAAGACCGGTTGGCGATCGAAAGTGAATTTTATGAAGAAGCTGAAGGTCTGTTATATGGTCCGCGTATTGCAGACTAGCCAACAAGTTATTTGTGATTGAAAAAAAATTGTAAAAATTTTACGACTTGAAACTTTAACGCGTTTTTTCTCAAATCAATGTTTTACACCTTATAAGCACGATAAATAATATACTACTTGACCGATTTTCATTAAATTTGTTACACATATAAATAGTAATATCGCCTTCTATTTGAACCTCTAAGTATACATAAGTTATTTTAAAAAATTACTTTTTTATTAATTTGTACCGGGTGTCCCTCAAAAGTGGCTCACCCCCATATTTTTTTTTTATTATCAGTGATATAAGAAAACCATTTGGAATGCATAATTAGGCTGTTAAAACGGATTATTACGACATGAAATCATTCTCTTTGTACTTCCGGTTATACCGAATGTGAGTGCTAACTTCGCTATTTTTTTAAATCTATATTTTTTTTTCTTCAGTTAGGTAGACAGCATAATTTCACATAACTTTTACTTGAAAAAATTTTCACGATCGCTTATAATTTTTGAAAAAAAATTATTTTCGTTATTTTTGAACGTTTTAGTACCTTCGGAAAATGTATTGCAACTTTTGACGCATAGCAGCTAGATTAATAGTATGTCCCTCTTGATTTGTTATTTCTCGAGCAGTGATCACTGCTATGCTTTAGTCAGTGGTTCTTTTTTAATAATGGTGTAAATTAACAGTTGTATTAAATTAGTTTTAAAAGAAAAACGCAATCAAGCAATTAAGTTTAATTCAATTATTTTTGATATTTTATTTCTTTTTTCTTTATTTTTTGTTTTTTTACACTAAATGTTCTGTAGCTGATAGTAACTTACAATGTATAATGTCCATAAATAATTGAATTAAATTTAATTGTTGAATAGCGCTTTTCTTTTAAAACTAATTTAATACAACTGTTAATTTACACCGTTATTAAAAAAGAACCACTGACTAAAGCCTAGCAGTGATCACCGTTCGAGAAATAGCAAATCAAGAGGGGCATAACGTAGTTTATACTATTAACCTAGCTACTATGCGTCAAAAGTTGTAATACATTTATCGAAGGTACTAAAACGTTAAAAAATAACGAATATAATTTTTTTCTCAAAAATTATAAGCAATCGTGAAAATTTTTTCAAGTAAAAGTTATGTGAAATTATGCTGTCTACGGAACTGAAGAAAAAAAAATTATAGATTTAAAAAAATACCGAAATTAGTACTCACATCCGGTATAACCGGAAGTACAAAGAGAATGATTTCATGTCGTAATAATCCGTTTTAACGGCCTAACCAAGCATTCCAAATGGTTCTCCTATATCACTAATAATAAAAGAAAATATGGGGGTGAGCTACTTCTGAGGGACACCCGGTATATCAATATTTTCCTAAAAAGTTTTAACATTATATTAAAACACCTGTATTTTTTAAATGCTTAGTTTTTTTTAACTTTTTTTTTGGTTCACATAGAAGATATGAATGTTGGGAACAATTTAAATGCATTCGTAAGTAATTCTAACCACTCTAGCGAATGCTAGAATGTTTAAAACGGAACCGCTCACTCCGTAACGTTCCCCTATCTGATCACTATTTGCCGTTCGCCTATAAAAGTTTTATAATATGTGAATACATATTTTTATAGTACAAAACAACAACAAAAAAGAAGGGGGAACAAAAAAGGTTGAAAACAAATTCAAACTCAAGCAAAAAAAAACTTGAAAATGCACTTATTTTAGCTCGTCTAAATGTACTTCCCCCCTTAAGCAGAACTCCCTGCACAATTTACTTTGTTTCTTTTCACTCTGCAAAAGTACACTATAAGCGGTAAGTTTAAGCTTTTATTGCATTTCAATATGGTCAATTATAAGCGAAAGTTGATTCTAGCCGGGTTCATTATACCCGGAAAAAATTAACACCTAGCTTATGGAATTCATTTGTTGCCGCCTGCAATGATTCACTATAAACTGATTCATTATAAGTGAACATTACTGTAATTGAATTAAATGCATCAATATAGCCAAAAATTTGTTCTTGAACTCTAATAAATAATATCACAATTCTTTTTTTTTTTCATTTAATAATTTTTTTTTAGTCTCTACCGTTTCTCATCGATGAATCATTTTTAAACACGCTGCGCAGCAATTTTATGATCTTCGAGTTTTGGATTAAATCAGAAACAAACAAAAATATTGGAATTGCTAATATTAATCTACACCAATTTTACGTTTCATATAGAAACCCAATTATCACAAAATACTTAGAACGAAACAAAGTAAGTTTTTCAAATTTTGGTTTTTACTCATACAAAATTCTAACGTAAAATAAAAAAAAACAAGTTGCCAGTTATAGGTTGTGATTGGTGGGAATCAATTTACGATCCTTTAAACGGAGACGTTTTTGGCGAAGCACAAATATTAGTGGCTCTTGGAACGGAAGATCAAATTCTAAATTTAAAAAAGGAAAGAGGTTTTATAAATGATACCATTCGGGTGAAAACTACGCGAAACTTTAAAAATGATAATGAAAACAACAAAGTTTTACCTGGAGTAAATAAAAAAGTAAATAAAAATCGTAACACATTGAGAATTAATAAAAAACCAAATCCGATTAAGTCTAAAAGTAAAGATATCGGAATTCAATCCGACATTGTAATAAACGAAATCACTAAAATGGACTCATCAAAATTAGAGGATAATAACGATAAAGTGGAAGTTAAAGAATCCGAAAATTATACGGCAATCGCTTCGTTTCTACAAACGTTAATGACAATGAATAACAAAACTTTTAAGGAAAATTGTACCAACACAGAAGCTGCAACAAGTTCTCTTAAAGCATCTCCAAATATCACTCAAGATTCGCCTTTAAAATTGACTGAGAAATCCTTAACAGAAACGTTGGGTCTTAATGCAATAAAAGAAAAATCTACCACATTTAAAGCTCATATTTTCATAGAAAATGCGTTACATCTTCCATTTCGTAAGAAAAGTAAAACTAAAAAGTCGAGAGGAAAAAGTGGAAAGTATGAAGAGATTTTGCCGAGTTGTTACGTTACTTTTGAAACTGTCAATGGTGATATAAAAATGACTAATGTTGTTCAGAAAAGTAAAAATCCTGTTTGGAATTATAATAGCGATGTTGAATTACCTAAGGAATTATTAACAAATGTAAGTAATAGAATTAATACTTTTAGAATCCCACTTTTTTTTGGTTTCATTACATCTAAGTTTCTGAAATTTTGTTTAAACGAAAAGGTCATCCTGATCTTTATATCTAAAATATTTTCTTCCCACTTCCGGTTCACCGGATTAGACAAAAAATTGTTATTTTAAATGGAATGTTATGGTATTTATTACACATTAATATTGTTTATGCAAAAATAGGCTGACTTTGATAAAGATTGTTGATACCTAAAGCTTTTCGTTTTCTAGTTATTTTCATTTTCTTTCAGCAGTTATTAATGTGTTTTTTTAAACCGTATTATTCAGCCACTCTACAAGCAACAAAGGTGGAAGTTTGTATAATTACGGTTCAAATGTTCAAAAATTGAACGTAATTAGTTGTATCGGTTTACAAGTGGTGAAAAATTTAAAAGTTAAAAATTAAAAGATTCCCTTATCTTTACGTTCTACAACACGTTTTCACTTATATTTTGCGAACTATCTTTATTTTTTTCCGGAATTATTTAAAAATAACGTTATTAATTTATTGACGTTAAATATACTCGTAATATGTATGTTCAAAATATCTAAATCTATTAATCGGAAGAAATGGTGCTGGTATAAGTTCCAAACTAGACGTCACGCCTTTATTTCTTTATGTGGGTAAAATAAAGGCGGGACGTCCTGTTTGGAACACACATCAACCGGATTGGTCAGAACCCTCCTCTCCCTGCATGACTTATTTCTGTTTCTTTATAATTTAAAATTCGCTTAAATAGCTCTAAAAGAGTAGAGAGACATAACTTTGAAAAACTGATAACGGAATCCGGCAAACGCAATTATATTGAATGTTGAAAAAATAAAATATGTCCCAAAAAGCAAAGTTCAAAGTTGAAATTTTCAAGTGTCTGAAAATTTTTGTGAAAAATCGCAAATTGCGATAAAAAGAAAACCGTGGAGCCGAAAATTTTTAAATTCACATGTTACGTAGAAATGTTCAGGGATTACGACAAAATTTACCGCAATTTTTTTTTTCTCTAGCGGTTGTGAAGGTATCGATCTCTAAAATGAGGGGCCTTGACGTTTGGCATAGATAGCAGAGAAGTAAGATATTTTATTTATTAACCAACTAACAAAAGAAATGGTTGAATATCAAAACAATTTTATTCTACGTTACATTACTAAGGGCCGGTTGAACAATATACCGATAAATCTACCTGATACCTACCCGGCTGATAAACTTATCGGGAGGCTAAAAATATTCGCTGTTGTACAAACTGTTTTTGTTGGTAGGATTGCTATCGGCGAAATAACAGTCGGTTGATAGTACTTTTTAGCCACATCTACTATCCGTGCAAAAAGTCAAAGCCCCGCACTTTAGAGATCGATATAATAATAATAATAATGCAATTTATTAACCCTCAAAAATCTTTTACATATAAATCACTTTACATAATAAAGAAAATTAAGAAGGTTAATTAGGTAGCCAGGTCAGGCAACACCTTGGTAGTGAGGCCTGCTCTTCCCCTGGCTCCTATGTACTATAACAAATAATCCATAACAGCGCAAAAAAAATATATATAACTGAGTATAATAAGAAAACTAATTCAATCTTGTCTGTCGCTCACATCGATACCATAGACCGAATCACAGTGGTTGAAATGAGATAAAATCAACGCATCAGTTAATAATCGTTTACTGTCTGCATTCAACACGTGTCGATACGGATAAAGGGATTTCAAGATACAATTAGATTTTTGTAATAGTTTATTTATGTTTGTATTAAATTTTAAATCATTGTCTATAAACACCCAAATTTTTAACGGAATCCACGTGCTGTAATTTCTGATAACCTACACTAATTTTAAGAATATCACTAACAGATTTGGTATGATTTTTATTCCCAAAAATAATTACATTGGATTTAGTGGGGTTAATTTTTAGACCATGTGCCTCAGAAGCGTCAACAAGGGATTGTACATCCGAATTAATTTTGATAGCAGCATTGTTAGAGTCAGTGTGATGAAATGAAATTGACAACTGAGTATCATCAGCATAAGCATGATATTTGCAAAACTTAAAATTTTTATAAAACGTACTCACATAAATTATGAACAGCAGAGGTCCACATATACTTCCCTGAGGAACTCCTTTAAAGATTAGTTCTCTTTGTGAGAAGACATCTTTGATTTTAGTTCGTTGTTCTCTGTTTAAAAGGTAATGTTTAAAAAACTCTATTGCTGTGTGACTCAGACCAATGTAGTGTAAAATACTTAGTAACAGATGGTGATTTATCATATCAAATGCTTTTGAATAATCCAACAATACAATCGCATGCATGTCACCCCCGTCGACGCTACGCAACACATCATCCACAATATCTAATAGAACAGTATTACAGCTATGATTCGGTCTAAATCCCGATTGGTTGTCGGGTATGATGTTATAAAGACAAAGATGTTCCCTTAATTGACAACAAACTATTTTTTCAAGAACTTTGGAGAGGGCTGGCAAAATACTTACAGGTCTAAAATCTGTATAACTCTCAGGAGCACTGGTTTTCGGCAAAGGAATCACAATGGAATCCTTCCAGCAATCAGGGAAAACCGATTCCAGGAGACAAGTGTT